ATTCTAACAGGTGTGATGCCATGTTCTACAAACTGTCTGTGCCAACCGTTTATGTAGATGTTTTCAAATCATCATTGTCTAATATTGGTTGTGTTGTTGTGAAGTTCAAAGTCGGGTGATGGAGGTCGCCATTAAAGATGTGATGCCCCAGACGGCACACCATTGGTGCAAGTGGCATGTGTTGAAGAAGGCAAAAGAATCACTCAGTTCATTGTACACGAAGAAGAGCGAGTTTAGGGAAGAGTTCCACAAGGTAGTAAATCACATGCTTACAAATTGATGAATTCGAGGAAGCTTGGAAGATATTGGTGGAGGAACGGCTACATGACACAGCTATATGATATAAGACACAAGTGGGCGAAGCCTAATTTTAAAGGTGTTTTCTGTGCTAAGATGACCAGCACCCAGCGCAGCGAAAGTGCAAACCACATGTTGAAGAACTATGTTCTGCCTAGTTGTCCAATGCATATGTTTGTCAAGAAAGACATGAGACTTCAGTCTACGAGGAGAAGCAGACACGAATAGTAAGTCATATTTGATAATTGCAACTAGATGTCTAGTAGTAAATAGGGTCATTGATTTGATGCATCTATATTTCAGGGTAGACCACTGTACAGAGCAACCTTAGCTATAGAGAGACATGCTGGTAAAATATAGACACGGGTTATGTTTGAGCAGTTTGGACATATTCTCTATGAGTGCAGCGCATACCAAGTGGACAATCTTGAGAAGGGAAAATTGTATCTTGCCATTCATATCGAGGCTGCTAGGAGAGAAAAGTGGTGTGGGGTGTCATATAAAGTAACTATTCTCGAAGGTGGTGATGAATTCGACTGCGAGTGCGAGCAATTTGCACACATGGGACTACTTTGCAGCCATGTTTTGAAGGTATGGTGACCGATAAAACATAAGCATATGTTTTTCTAGATATGCATACAGTGTGTGCAATATCTGATGCACTAACTGAGCAAATTGAACTTTGCACGTGTTGGATTTCATCTGTATTATAAAGATACTGCAGAAACACATTGTGAAGCGATGGACCAGGGACGCACGGGACATACTACCGGCTCACCTTACTCAATATCAGAGAGATAATGCACACAAAAATCCATCCAGCTTCAGGCATTTCAATATGTACATGCATGCCATGGAGTTGGTGCGGATGGACGATGCAAGTGTGGAAGCATATGAGAAATTCATGACTCTCATTAAGAATTGCATGGTCCAAATGGAACCATTTGCAGAAATTAGGGATGGGCTGGGTTTGGAGGATAGGGTTGGTCAACATGGAGATGTTGTTAACCAGCTGACAGCACATACAACAGTTGTTGCAGCAAGTGGAGGTGCAGGCATGGGGACTCTGAATGATGATGCTACCTCCGCAAATGAGAGTGGGAACAGACTCACTGGTTTGTTGGCGCCAAAGAAAAGGAAAGAAGTGGAGCGCTCGACAAATAGCCGCGAGAAGGCACCGTACGAGGGGCCAGCAAACGGACAAGGTTCTGCAGCACATGTCGGCAGCAGGGGTACAAGAGGACTACCTGCCCGGACCGGGGTGATGCGCCGAAGCCTGTTCGCAAACCAGCGAGGTGCAAAAGTTGTGGAATTGAAGGTCATAGGCGAAACAACTGCCACAAAGTGGGTGATCTGCGGGTGATTGGCATGTGAGGACTTGGAAGAAACTATCTGTTAAGACTACAAATCTGTAGAACTAAATGTGTGCTTTGGTAGTTCCGTCAGTAGAACTTTTCTAGATTCATGTTTGCTGAGTGTATTCAGCAGGTGCTATGAATGCCAAAAATCAGTTATGTATTATCTGAAAATAATGTATGCTTGAACTGGTCTGAATCTAAACGTTGGAGGGTTTGCATAAATGAACGTCCAGATTTATGAATTTTTGTACACCCTGGTGATGCATTTTGAAGTTGTGAGCAGTAAGTTGGTGTACATATTTTTGATATTGTTGGCACTATGTTGATGCATTGTGGAAATTTCATGACTGGCAAACGTGACTTCCGACATAATGAAATCCTGAAGTCTGAATTTTTCCATAGATCTGGAAGTGAATTCTGAGATCCTGAAGCTAATCAAATTTCATATAAGCTGGTGCATGTGTTTTGCTGGGCTGCAATATAAATTGTCAGAACTGCTGTGTGATCATGGTGTGTGCTCATTGGAAAATCAAATTTGAGCAGATTTTGGTATGCTTGCCTATTGCGGAGTCCCATGCAGCTAAATATTCTGACACGTAGCACTGTGCATTATTGACAGTTGTATGCCTGTGGGTGGCGTCGCGCCCATTGCTGTACTCACCCCTTTCGAATTTCAAGCACCAAGAGCGGGGATAACAGGAGCATCAAACAGATTTGAAGCGACGCAGAGCGCACGGGGCGAGCCATTCCTCTGTATTGGTAAACCCAAGTCTGACCATTACAAGATATTGAGCGAGGAGAAAGCGGATGAATGGATCAAGAGGAGTCAGATTAGTAGGCTGCTGGGAAGCTGAGCAGTAATAAATGGGTACAGCCGGTGTTAGTCCAGAATCTGCGCCCTACGGGCCCAGTCTGTTGGTGGACGTCTGATCCATAGCCCAGGTAACTCACGCCGTATCGAGCCTACAATGACAGAAGTGGGCCCTTGTAACTATTCACCACAGCAAATACGGGAATAATACCTGGGCCTATACAGGAGGGATTGTGGATCACGAGGATTGCCGGCGGGTGGGCCGGCGGGTGGGATACCGCGACCACCTGTGCTTGAGCACAGAAGATCACTTTCGCATAATTATTCGCTTTTCTTTCAATTGCTCGATAGTAATTTGTTCACCCACCGTAATACTTATACTATCTTGAGAGAATCCCCTAGTGAAATCTATGCCCCCGGGTCTATCTTTTATCATATAAGCTTTCAATCTACTTTTATTTGCATCTTTACTTTTTGCATCTATATTATAAAATACCAAAAATATATTTATCTTATCATATTATCTCTATTAGATCTCATTTTCGCAAGTGGTCGTGAAGGGATTGACAACCCCTTTATCGCGTTGGTTGCGAGTTCTTTGTTTGTTTGTGTAGGTTCGTGGGACTTCTGAGGAGCCTTCTACTGGATTGATACCTTGGTTCTCAAAAACTGAGGGAAATACTTACGCTACTGTGCTGCATCACCCTTTCCTCTTCAAGGTAAACCAACGCAAGCTCAAGACGTAGCAAAGGAGATGGTGTTGCCCTTAGACGACGACGTGGTGCTGGATGATCCCCCAATGGCAATAGGAGGAACTACGACCACTACCATGAGGAGACATGCCCAACTCACTTCTGCAAGGTGATCCTTGACCGGAAGCTCGAGTGCCTGCTTATGCCTCTAGACTTCACGAAGCACTTCCCAATCATGCCTCCGGAGTTCAAGCTGAAGATGAACACCGACTTTGCATGGAGGGAGATGGTCCGCTGATGAATGGCAGGATCATCCTCGATCAAGGTTGGCCCCCATTCACAACTGTCCACCAAACCAGGATCGACTACATGATCACCTTGAAGTTGCTGATGAAGGGAAACGTAGCATGCAATTTCAAAAAATTTCCTACGCTCATGCAAGATCTATCTAGGAGATGCATACCAACGAGAGGAGGAGAGTGTGTCCACGTACCCTCGTAGACCGAAAGCAGAAGCGTTTGCTTAACGCGGTTGATGTAGTCGAACATCTTCTTGTTCCGACCGATCGAGTACCGAACATACGTCACCTCTGAGTTCTGCACACGTTCAACGCGATGACGTCCCTCAAGCTCTTGATCCAGCAGAGGGTCGAGGAAGTAGATGAGTTCCGTCAGCACGACATCATGGTGACAGTGATGGTGATGTGATCCGCGCAGGGCTTTGCCTAAGCACCGTGAGAATATGACCAGAGGCGTAAACTGTGGAGGGGGGCGCCGCACACGGGTTGGAGCAATTGATGTGTCTTCTAGGGGCGCCCCGTATAAAAAGGAGGGAGGGAGAGGAGGCCGGCCCTAGGCGCGCCCCAAGTGGGAGGAGTCCCACTTGGGCTCCTAGTAGGATTCAGCCCCCCTTCCTTTTACCGGAGGGGGAAAAGGGGGAATGAGAGGGAGTAGGAGAAGGAAAGGGGGGTGCCACCCCCACCCCTTGTCCAATTCGGACTCCTCCCTGGTGGGGGGCACGCCAGCCCCTTGTGGGCTGATTAGCCTCCCTCCTATGGCCCATATGGCCCATATCTTTCCCTCGGGGGGTTCCGGTAACCCCTCCAGTACTCCGGTATGTATCCGATACATTCCGGAACACTTCCGATGTCTTAATACCACCTTACAATATATCAATCTTTACCTCTCGACAATTTCGGGATTCTTCGTCATGTCCATGATCTCATCTGGAACTCTGAACAACCTTCAGTCACCAAAACACATAACTCATATAATACATACCGTCATCGAACGTTAAGCGTGCGGACCCTACGGGTTCGAGAACTATGTAGACATGATCGAGACACCTCTCCGGTCAATAACCAATAGAGGAACCTGGATGCTCATATTGGTTCCCACATATTCTATGAAGATCTTTATCGGTCGAACTGCTATGTCAACATACGTTATTCCCTCTGTCATCGGTATGTTAAATGCCCGAGATTCTATCGTCGGTATCTTCATACCTAGTTCAATCTCGTTATTGGCAAGTCTCTTTACTCGTTCCGTAATGCATCCTCCCGCAACTAACTCATTAGTCACATTGCTTGCAAGGGCTCTTATGATGTGCATTACCGAGAGGGCTCAGAGATACCTCTCCGATACTCGGAGTGACAAATCCTAATCTCAATCTATGCCAACCCAACAAACAACTTCGGAGATACATGTAGAGCATCTTTATAACCACTTAGTTACGTTATGATGTTTGATAGCACACAAGGCATTCCTCCAGTGTCTGGGAGTTGCATAATCTCATAGTCAGAGGAATATGTATTTGACATGAAGAAAGCAGTAGCAATAAAATTGAACGATCATTATGCTAAGCTAAAGAATGGGTCTTGTCCATCACATCATTCACCTAATTATGTGATCCCGTTCATCAAATGACAACACATGTCCATGGCTAGGAAACTTAACTATCTTTAACCAATGAGCTAGTCAAGTAGAGGCATACTAGGGACACGGTGGTTTGTCTATGTATCAACACATGTATCAAGTTTTCGGTTAATACAATTCTTGCATGAATAGTACACATTTATCATGATATAAGGAAATATAAAGTAACAAATTTATTATTGCCTCTAGGGCATATTTCCTTCAGTATCCCACTTGCACTGGAGTCAATAATCTAGTTCACATCGCCATGTGATTTAGCACCAATAGTTCACATCTATATGTGATTAACACCCATAGTTCACATCTCCATGTGACCAACATCCAAAGGGTTTACTAGAGTCAATAATATAGTTCACATCACCATGTGATTAACACCCAAATAGTACTGAGGTGTGATCATGTTTTGCTTGTGAGAGAAGTTTAGTCAACGGGTCTATCACACTCAGATCCGAATGTATTTTGCAAATTTCTATGTCTACAATGCTCTGCATGGTGCTACTCTAGCTAATTGCTCCCACTTTCAATATGTATCTAGATTGAGACTTACAGTCATCTAGATTAGTGTTTAAAGCTTGTATCATCGTAACCCTTTACGATGAACCCTTCACCTCCATAACCGAGAAACATTTCCTTAGTCCTCTAAGGATAATTTGGACTTCTGTCTAGTGATCTACTCCTGGATCACTATTGTACCCCCTTGCCAAACTACACAACAGGCCTGGTATACGGCATGGCATACTTTATAGAATCTATGGCTGAGGCATAGGGAATGACTTTCATTCTCTCTCTATCTTTTGCCGTGGTCGGGTTTTGAGTCTTACTCAACTTCATACCTTACAACTCAGGCAAGAACTCCTTCTTTGACTGATCCATTTTGAACTCCTTCAAAATCTTATCAAGGTATGTACTCATTGAAAAATCTTATCAAGCGTCTTGATCTATCTCTATAGATCTTGATGCCCAATATGTAAGTAGCTTCACCGAGGTCTTTCTTTGAAAAACTCCTTTCAAACTCTCCTTTATGCTTTCCAAAAAATTCTACATCATTTTCGATCAACAATATGTCCATTCCCATATACTTATCAGAAAGGCTATAGTGCTCCCACTCACTTTCTTGCAAATACAGGCTTCACCACAAGTCTGTATAAAACTATATGCTTTGATCAACTCATCAAAGCATATATTCCAACTCCGAGAAGCTTGCACCAGTCCATAGATGGATCGCTGGAGCTTGCACATTTTGTTAGCACCTTTAGGATTGACAAAACCTTATGGTTGCATCATATACAACTCTTTTTTTAATAAATCCATTGAGGAATGCAATTTTGATATCCATTTGCCAGATTTCATAAAATATGGCAATTGCTAACATGATTCGGATAGACTTAAGCATCGATACGAGTGAGAAAATCTCACCATAGTTAACACCTTAAACTTGTCAAAAACCTTTTGTGACAAGTCAAGCTTTATAGATAATAACACTACCATCACCATCCGTTTTCCTCTTGAAGATCCATTTATTTTCTATGGCTCGCTGATCATCGAGGAAGTCAACCAAAGTCCACACT